GGTGGGAGGGGGTGCGGGGCGGGTGATGCTGTAAGTGGGTGCGGAGTTTCAGGAGAGCAAGGATCTGGAATGTGTTTGGCCTGTGGCAGCAAGCTCTGGACTATGTAGTTCCCAGATAAACAGCCCCCAGCTGGCCTCTGCATTGGCCAGACCTGCAATGCAGGGAGGCCCAAAGGACTGTACGGGAGAACAATGATCTTTGCCAAAGAGTTAATCGTGGAACCTTGGAAGAAGCGGAGCTCTCTAAACAGAATGTCTGCACTCTGGCCATTTTCCAAACGATTCGTCACATTTCAAAGCTCTGCTTTTTCTTTTGCTTTGCAAAAGATTTATATGAATAAAAAGAACATATAACATCTACAAGTGGTCTAAAGAATAATGAAATGAAAGTCCGGCCATCGTGTAAGTCAAGAAATGAGGCACACAGGACATTAGAGGCCATATGGAGGGGGGAAGGGGTTCACTGCTGACCCTCCCTCCCCTAGACATGATGTCTTTCATGGTTTCTGTTATCCGCCCCCAGCTGTGATTCATAGCTTTTTACATTTGTGTGTAAAGCACACATCTGTTGATTTCCCCTTTTTTAAACTTTCATATCATGAATACTGTCCTGTACATAGTCTTGCTTCTGAGATGCACTGCTTTTGTTTTTGTTGTCTGTGGTTTAATATACTCTGCTAATTCTACTGTTGATGGACATTTGGTTTCTAGCCTGGAATATGTATTTATTGCCTCTGTGACAAATTACACCAACACTTAGCAATATAAAGTAAAAAAAGAAAAAAAAGAAAAGAGACAACGAAACCCATCTCTGAGATTTCCTTGACATCTCCCAGTTTCTGTGGATCTGGAACCCATCAGGGGCTTAGCTGGGAGTCTCTGTAGTCAAAGGATCAAGGTGTTGGCTCAGGCCAAGTCACAGCCATCTCACAGCTCTTCCAGCTGACTCTAGGTCTGTGGCAGGCTTGGGGGCCTCCCTGACTTTGGCTGGTCACCTGCTTTTTTGCCATGTAGGTCTCTGAGAGACTTATTAGAACATAACAGCTTGTCCTTCCAGAGGGAGGGCTTCCAGAGAGAAAGAAGCAGGAACCAAATTCTTTTTGCTTCCTAATCTCAAATCTGGTCCTTAAAAGTGATTGCTCCCCAGACTTCAACAGGATGGATTTCACAAGGGCATGACAAGCAGGTGTCTTAAAGGCTGCCTACTGTGAGGAAACCCAGTAACAAAATAAGGTCTTCTACCCATTTATAGCAACTTGTGCAACTTTCCCTAGAGTACAATCTGAGTAGACTCAGGTAGAACCATTGTTTGGCTCTGCCTAATTAATTCATTAGAGTTCTTTCTTTATACTAATCAATACTTTATTCATTGTATGTGCTGCAAATATCTGCTTCCAGTTTTCTTCAGAAGCTTTCTTTGTCAGTAAGAAGTTTAATTCCAAGTTACTGATACTTACTTTATACTATGTCTTGTTTAAGAATCATGTCATTAAGTGGCTAGGGAGAAGGCTCAGTGGATAAAGCCCTTGCTGTGCAAGTATGAAGACCAGAGTTTGGACACCCAGCACCCACATAATAGTTGGGCTGGTATGGCAGCCTGCCCGTAATCCCTGTGCTAGAAAGGACAAGGGATCTCCGGGTTAACTAGCTAGCTAGGTTATCCAATCCTCAAACTCTAGGAGAACCCCTGCCCTGTGAAAAAAGTGGAAAGAGATCAAAATAGAGACTTCGTATCAACCTAAATCCTTCACAAGCATACACCCATATGCATGTATGTTTACACATGTTTATGCCCATACACATGTAAGCATGCATACATGTTCATGCACATCACAACACATATTCACACATCACAAAAAAAGAATTGTGTCCTCAAGGTTATGAATTAACCTACCGTATTGTAGATTAATGGCTGCCAATGGTTTTACATTTGGTAGTCAGGCTTAATCTGCCTGAGATTGATTACTGTGTTGTTCATTTCATGTGAATGACCAGCTGTCTCAACACCAGTGATCTACACGAATCAAGTTTTCCATCGGTGTATGAACGTATTTTAAGTTCGCTACTCTCATTTTCTAACTCCACAGTGGATAGCAATGGTTTTATAATAATAAATCTTCAAGTCTTCTAGGAGAAGTTTGCTCACCTGTTTATTCCTCTTCAAGACTGCTTCTTGAATCTTTGACTCTCCATATAAGTATTTAAATAACCTACCGTGCTCTCCCAAACAAGCAAGTCAGGAAATATGTTGTATTTTAATATTACAGTTAACTGCATGTCATAGTCTTCTTTGGTGCTACTGTGATTTAATGCATGAGACTGGGCCTTTTATAATGAAGAGAAATATCAGTTCACAGTTCTGGAAGATAAGTCCAAGATCCCAAGGCCAGCATCTGTCTGGTGAGGGCCATAGTGCCTCAGCATCCCAAAGAGAGAATACAAGGTGCCTGAACTCCCTTTTTCAAGAGGCACACAGTCACGCTAATGGCCTTAATTCACTCACTGCATCATAAAGGCCTAATCGCTCATTAGGCCTCAGCATTACTGCACTGGAGATTAAATTTCCAGCACGTGAGTTTGGATAAACACACCCTGATATAGTACTCCGTAGGTCACCTGAGAAATGAGCCCTTTGAAACGCTGACCCTTTCTCCCCGTGAACTTAGTATATGATGATGTTCATTTAGGTTATCATTGATACTTTGACTTATTTTCATTATTTTTACTTTTCTCATTTTATTTAAGTGCATTATATGTTTACTGCTATTATAAAGTCTTTCTTTTGTAAAAGTTATCTTTTACAGCTTCATATTGGTGGCATATAAAAACCTCATTGTCTTTTATATCTTGTCAATCAAAATTGATAGTTGATCATTTAACTTACCTGTAGCTTCTTTAAAATTTGCCACATCAGCAATTATATTATCCAAAA